TGTGTGTGTGTGTGTGTGTGTGTGTGTGTGTGTGTGTGTGTGTAGGATGTGGCTGATATCCAGATCGATACCGGTGACCTGATGGAGTGTTTGGTTCAGAATAAACACCAGAAGGAGATGAACGACAAGTGTTCAGTCGGCGTTACACACTTCCAGCTGGTCAGTCTCTTCTTCCTCCTCTTTGTTCAACTATTAGTATTATTTTATAGTTTCACTTAAATGTGTGTATTTGACATATTTGATCAACGTAGTGTTGTGCCTGCTCCATATGTTATATTAATATAAATGTAAGGGCCTTTACAGCTTTAGTAGGGGTGAGTTTGATGATTGTTCTTTAAATTTATATTTCGAATCCGTTTCAGATATTTCTATATAACAGTTATAATAATAATATAACAGTTGATCCAGCAGGAGTTAATGAACGCTGGCGTCTGAAGCAGCTGCTCCTTCACGTAAACACCGTGTTGCTCTGCTGGTTTCTAGAAGACTGTGCCGCTTTAACGGGTCCCTCGGGGACATTTAGTGGTTACAACGTCCAGCAGGACAACAGAGAGAGAATGGAGGACACCGGTGATGAGCCTGTCTCGCTGTGGTTGTTGCTGTTCGATATGACTGATGACAGTAAATGCTCAACTTTCAGGTCCAGATGAAGGATTTCCGGTTCTCCTATAAGTTCAAGATGGCCTGTAAGGAGGACGTTCTCCGCTTGTGTCCAAACATCAAGAAAAAGTGAGTTTGATTTCCATGAAAACATCCAGAAAACTGGAAACTTAAAGTTGACACTTGACCTTTACGCCGCAGGGTGGACGTGGTGATCTGCCTCAGTACCACGGTGAAGAACGACACGCTGCAGGAGGCCCGGGAGCAGCGGGTCTCACTGAAGTGTCGTAAACAGCTGCGAGTGGAGGAGCTGGAGATGGTACCACACACACACACACACACACACACACACACACACACACACACACACACACACACACGTTGACGTTTGTAAGATAGACCTTACAGTGTGACAGCGTGACTCTCCTTCCTTCTCAGTCGGAGGACATTCGGTTGGAACCAGAGTTGTACGATCCGTGTAAGTCCGACATCAGCCGTCTGTGTCCCAACGTGGCCTTCGGTAACGCTCAGGTGAGGAGCGTCTGGGAAAAGAAAAAGAAAAAGCATTCTGTTCATGTTTGTGGTGTTAAACTCTTCTTCTTCCTCCTCCTCCTCCTCCTCTTCTTCCTCTTCCTCCTCCTCCTCAGATGATCGAGTGTCTGAAGGAGCAGAAGAAGCAGCTCAGTCAGCGCTGCCACCAGCGGATCTTCAGGCTGCAGGAGGTCGAGATGACCGACCCCGAGCTCGACTACCAGCTGATGAGAGTCTGCAAGCAGATGATCAAGGTGGGAGGGGAGGGGGG